GATGGTAGTAAGAAAGATGAATGTTATAAGAAAATCATACTTCTTAATAATAAGGTTTCGTGTGCAACCTCTCTATATGATGCGATTGGTCATATAAAGAAATATAAAGAAGTGACCGGAAGGTTAATTGAACGCTCGTTATTCGAGTGCTTCGGAAGCACAGCGAATAAATATAACTTGAAGCCTCTGAGAGTTGAACGAGGTGACAGGATAAAGGAAGAAAGATACGACAGCTGGCGACGCACGGGATCCTTGCCTGACCTAACCCAACCCGATCAAAAATATTCTATAGGGTTCGACGTCTTTTCACGCACGAGACGCAAGTGTGCAGGATGGCCGCCGCGAAGGTAAAAGGTACTCTTCCGAGGCGCAGCTGCCATTGGTAGCCATACTGTGAAAGCGTAGCAGTTGTCCAAAAGACGTACCCTGCTCTGCTTTGCCTCTGCTCTACCTTGCTCTACCTTGCTCTAATTGGCCATTGTCGATCGACTTGCGCGGCCATGTCGCATTCACACCGAGAAAATCCAATTGTGTACGATCCACCGGGAGCTGGACACGCAAATCCCACAAAAGCCGAAGTCAGGTCAAAGGAACGCGGGGAAATGCATCATTCTACCGTCTCGACATTCATTGATGATGTTAGTTGCGGCGCGATACGCGGCGGACCGTTAATCATAATTAATCGAAGATGGCGGATACATGAAGTAATTTCAATTATCATGACGTATAACGCGGAAAAAAGATTTCTCGCTTGATTGATAACGATTGCGTGAAGATATGCGTTTGAACACTTCGGGATTCGATCACGTCGTTCGTTGTCGGGCCCGCGCGAATTATTGTAACTGTGAACGTAGCTTTATAAGTCCGCGATTCTGCGAAAAACGCCGGCAAAGTAACAGGTGGACCTACAACAAACTTCGGCGAAAACCGGACCTCTCTCCTTTCTGCATCAAATTCACGCGCGTCTCAAACGAGAAATATGGGATCATACACGCAAAAAAATGAACAATAGCAGCTAAATTTCAGTAGCTGAATCAAACTTAGCTGTAAAAGCTATCGCCTTAGTGTCATAGCTAAGTACTAGTTATTATAGGTAAAAAAAATTCACTGTGGCATGAAAATTTATTAGCTGAAATTGAAAGCGTATATTAACACGAGCAGCTATAAAGATAGCAACCGTACCTAAATTTCTTACTATGCGCATACATTGCGGAATATGCTTTATAGCTAAAACATTTAGCACGCGCAGCTAAGTTTATGGGTATGCGCGCGAATCTTCGATTCACAATTGTTTAATTGTTTCTGCGACGCTGTCATTGACAACATCGACGCGTTAGCCGTTGCTCGCCCAGTTCGTTTCGATACGTGTGAATTAAGTGGTTCTCTATTGTGTGGATAAGATGGATGAAGAAGTCCGTACTTTGTTAAAATATTGGGGCGTAACAGCGAAGATTGTACAATCATAGCTAAAAATCTTAGCATCCATAATGGAGATTATTTAGTTCTGCAGCAAAGGATAAAGTAGCATTCAGCTAAGTGTCACTTGTTTCTAACAGCAAAAAAGTGTTGCTGTAGTACCTAAATGAAAATAGCTAATAAATTTAGCTTGGGCAGCAACAGTATTAGCTGTCCTTATTTTAAGGACACATTTTAGCTATCACAGCTATATATTAGCTCCTGTTGCTAATCTTTTTTTTCCGTGTACATAAAAGTTTATTTAGAATTATGTGATCATAATTATATATGATTATAATATTTTTTTGTTATATCAAAGTTAATCGTATCACTGAATATATGATCAAAATTACAGCTCTTACGACTATAATTTTAATATAAAATGTCAGAAAAACTGAAAAAGTTTTGAATCTCTGAACAGAGAAGTTTAAATAGGTAGATTATAATCTCTATCTAAATTAAATTTTAAATAACTTTGGCAAAGTTACAATTGTAAATTGTAAGCCACAAAATTAAAAAAGTATTAAATGATCCGAATTCAATTTTACATAGGCACATAAACTGAAAAAGCTATAACTTTATACATATAAATTAAATATCATATGAATAGCAAACATAATAGTCGTAAGTTACATTCTAAACGAAAGAAAAGAAAATTATTCTTAACATCTATTTAAATATTGTATATTTAACTTCTTTTCCATTGCGCACAGATAGCTAATTTTTATTAAGTACCAGATAACGCAGAAATTCATCACTTGTTTTGTCCTGAATATCCTACGGTATTGATCTGTATCTATATTTTATTACATATAATAAGCATGATGAAAAAGATTTCAAGTGACTCTCCACTGACCTACCATTTTATAGTTATATTACGACACATTTACATTCTGCTGACGTATACTATCAGCTGATTGCTTAAACAAAATAATACTGAAAGCTCTTTTATAATAAATCAAATGCCAAAGTCGAGACAATTTAAATAAATTTCAAACAAACTAAAAAGATTATAATTATAAATAAAAAAATTTTTGATAGGAAAAAAATTATAATTTTCCTAAATTCTAAATCTTAATTAATAAAACGCCAAAGTTGACGCATTATGGAATAGTGAAATGCATAAATGCAAGAAAACATTTTGCAATTAGAATTAAAAGTGTATCTATTAAAAGAGCTAAATATAATGAAAATTGTTCTATTATAGAAAATTGATCGGTTGCTTATTAATCGATCTACAAAAGCATGAACGAAAATGCCTAAATTTGTTAGTTAATTATCTCCATTTAAACAAAATTCCAATTTATCATAATCTTGGATATCAGTGTGTCTTTCATATATTGACATTTAATATTTTCAGAATTCTTGGAGAAAAAATAATCTCTCGAAGAACGTTTTAATCACCATGAAAAATTTCAGAAATTTCATTTAAATTACTTAATTTTAAGATATATTTAAAATATCTTTTCATATTCTACAGATTCATTTTTAGACAAAGAAAATTTACTGACAAGATTTTAAACACTATGAAATTATGAACGTCATCAATATTAGCATAAGCTCTGTTCGTAATGGCAGAAATCAGTTTATCTGCAACATCATTGCAACCAATTAATTAATTATTCAATTCCGGGAACAATAGCGCATGGCATTAATTAGTTCACAGACCTTATTTATATCAGAGCCAAGATCCGTTCCAAACTGTTCGCCAAAATTAAGCCAGAATTTTATAAATCGATTGTGTAATATAACATTCTCTTAAATATTCCATTCAGATAACGCTGAGCGAATTGCAAGTGTCGTATTAAAACTGTATGGTTTAAGAAGAAAGCGTTCACTGATTAATAAAAAAAAAACTCAAATATATTGGGTGTTGGACAAGATGGTTATGAACGCAAAATCAATTCAGGTGTTAACTCTTCGTTATCTGTTACTTTCTGAATTTTATCAATTCATTTTCGAATTAAATTTCACAATACCACAGGCTAGCACAGCTGAACGTATCTTCCAAAATTTCCATAATTTCTTGTATTATGTAACACAAAGGGAATTCGATAGATTTACTATATTTCTGAAAGATTTTTCCTTCAATGAAAAACATCTTTGCCGCAATGATCGATTCAATTTATATTATCGAAGTAAGATGTAGTGCACATCTTATCAAACCGATACCGAAGCGAGCTATAACTTCATTCCGTTATCGAAAGTAGGTCAGAATTTTATCGCGGCGCGAGGAAGTAGGATTTCATAAGCTCGGAACGTTTTTGAGACTTTACGATCGTCGCCTTGAGACTTAATTGCACAGCGTTCGAGTGGAAAATGCTAATGAATTCAATGAATTAAATTAATGCCTATATATGCGTCAGGGATACCGCCGACTGCCTGATTAATGTCCGCTTCTTCTAATTTTTAAACGTAACGTGACAAGTGACATTACAACAACCGCCGAATATCAAATAACTCTGTCGTATTGACGGAACCGGCCACGTGGCGAATTTCAGTTGAACTTCACTAATCATAATTAGGCTGCGTTCCGATATTCACTGCCAGTACTGAAAATCTATAGTTTACGTCACATGCATTATAGATTTTCAGGACTGGCAATGAATATTGGAAGGCAACCTTAATATAATGTATTACAAAAATTATTCACACATATATACAATATTCGGAATCAATATTACAATACTAAAATTGTTTTGGACAACTTACTTCTTCACTTTTGTAAGTCGAAGAAGCTAGAGCCAGCAAGAAAGCTTCCGCCAATGTAAATAAAAACAGGAATATGAAGTTCATCGGGGCCTTACGTCTCACATTGGTACAGCAAGCCATACATATGATCAAGATGATAGTTGCAGCAAAGGCGATCCAAAACAATTCTGTATGTCTCATGGCCCATTGCTGTGTTGGTTTATGATAGAGGAACAAAGTAATCATCCCAAATGTGATGAGTAACTGACACATCAGGATGCTATATACTTTCCTATAAAAGAAAAATATATATTTATATATTTGCTATAAATTCTATCTAGAGCATGCTATATAAATTTTAGGAGTCATGAAACTTACCTGATGAAGCCATTCCTAATGGTTTTATCATTGAATTCAAAAATCTATAGTGTACGTGACGTAAACTATAGATTTTCAGTACTGGCAGTGAATATCGGAACGCAGCCTTAAATGCGTGGTATTACAGATGCGAACAAATCGTCTTTATATTTTTGACATGCAGCGATAAATAATATTTATCAGTCAAAAGTAGTGTTACACGATGCAGATTCGATATTCATTCTATTTCAGATATATCTCCGTCGATTTCATTTTAAATATCTATTTTATAAAAAGCGAGATAAAAAGTTTAAAACTAATCAATACATTTTTAATTGTATTTACAAAACACGATGTGGAAGCATCGATCTACCACATTAATCTACGCGATTAATTTTAATATTATATAATATTCGTATATAATAACTTATTGCTTTTTGATATTGAAATTTGTCTAATCAATAATCCCCGCATCAATAATTACAATTGGATCTTACCTTATGACTTTCCGCCTGTTGTTAGGATGCAATTGGCGCGCCATCTCCGGATCGACCTCCATCAGTCTTCGATGTAGTTCCTCGTTGCTATCATCACATAATCTCGCGTCGAATTTCAACTTCTTCATCGGTGCCGCTTCATTATCATCGTCATCGCCATTCTGTCGATCGACCCGTATGTTATATCGATCATCCGATCTGTTCTCGATAGATGCGCTCGGATCGGTCGCGCTTGAATCGGCTTGCACTGACGGATCTTTCGGATCGGCTATAAGGATCTCCCATAGTAGAGATTCTATGTAATAGTTTGTACCTCCGACGACAACGGGCAGTTTCCTCCTGGCCACCAGGTTGTCTATCTATATCGATAGGAAAAGGAACAGAGCGTCGAAACAGAGTACAACCGAGAGCAGGACCGAGCGATTCGCGCGAGAGACCGTGGCTAATGATTGTATCAAGGTCTTCGCGAGGATCAGGGGCGTTCCGATTGGCTTCGTCCAAGATCTTTATTTTACGAAGTCAATTTCGCGCGCGCGAACCGAACTGCAAATCCATCGCGATTGTAAAGTCGCGCGTGAAACATCCAACCGCAATTATAATCCTTAATATCCAATAATAAGTTGAATGTGCAGCTCGAAATAAAGAGAACAAAAAAAAGTATCACTTTCATTATGTACTCTTCATTAAGCATTCATTGTACGTTTTTCATTAACACACCCTAAGAAGGATGATTCGCTCATTAATAATTTTATCTGCTTACGATAATCACAATATACGAATTATTTTCGTTCGCATTATTTTCCGAAAGATGTTATGATTAGCATATACGAAGGCATCCGTGCTCATTAAACTAGGTACAAAACACATTAATATATGCAAATTATTATGGTAATTATTATTATCGCGCTGAATTAAATTTTCAGTTATCTTATAAAATTCACGTGTCAGTAAACTCTGAATTATGCTTCAGATATTTACTAATTATAACCGGTTGTAACCGATGTAACCGATGAAATACGATCATCCTTATTGTTCTAGTAATGTTAGGATAGCTGCCGCGTTAAACATTGATTATCTCTGGAAAAAGAAAAAAACAAAAACGATATAAAAATTACAATCGGTAAGGCCATGTCTCTGAAGTCTATTACGGAGAAGTTGGTCAGCGGATCCATGACGTCCAGCATGTGATGTGGTGCCGCCTGTCTTTCCGCCGGGGTTACTTTCGCAGTAACAATGTCCAGACTTTTGTACACCTGCGGGCCAAGATAATTGCCGTAATTAAAAACAAAATAATGAGAAACCGACAAGATTGTTCGTTACAAGTACGTAATGAAATAGCAAGTAACGACAGAAAATAACGCATGAATAGAAAATTATGACAAATCAAATAATTTCGTTAATTGCGACGCTTGTGCAATTCACGGCCAGAAATAAATGCGCCAAATAATGCAGGCGCGACGGTACCCAGCGAAATCGTCACATTAAATCAGAGTCAAATTCTGCATCACGAAAGTGGAGAAGTGGAACAAGAAATTTTATCAAGCTTCTGATAAAATCATGAATTAACAAATTAACACGATTTATTTATTAACTCCATTTATAATTTTTTATCGACTTCTCGATTTAGACATTTAATAATACAAATGATGTCGCTCAAATGTCGTTCATGAGTTTTATCAAAGACCTATGTAAACTTGGCACTCTGCTTTTAATAAATAAAGTTTTCAATATATAAAATGATAGTACTTTGTTTGTATTTGTTTGTAGTAACAATATTTTCGTTTGTAGTTCGTCATAAAAAATAAAGAATTTTTCAAAAATAATTGTCACCCGACTTTAAGATAAAGAAAAAATCGTTAATATGTCTTGATTCATTTCGAATTCGCAAAAATATTATAGAAAATACAAAAAAAAACAACAATAAATAATGAAAACAAAAAAAAAACGAAAGAATACAATTATTACAAACTACAAACGATTCTAAAACACTTGGCGCAAGCAGATTCGAGATATCTTTAAAATTGACAAAATTACGTTATTTATTTATTGTAAATATGTTGTAACTTTTAAACTATTCAACTACAAATAAAAGGAAAATCATTACAAATAACTACAAACAATTCTGAGTCAAGATACATTAACGATTTTTTTTATCTTAAAGTCGGGTGACAGTAATTTTTAAAAAATTCTCTATTTTTTATGACTTGAACTACAAACGAAAATATTGTTATTACAAACAAAATACTATCGTTTTATACATATAATGAAAACTTTATTTATTAAAAGTAAAGTGCCAAGTTTACGTAGATTCATCAAAGCCATTATTTTGCTGTAAAATAATCTTATAAATACCATCATGCTTTTCCGATTTTTTCGACGCGCACAAAATTGTTATAATCTTTTGACGTACAACGACTGAAATTAAATGTCATTTTTCAAAGTCAAATGTTACAAGCACGTTTATCTTACACGAGCTTACATCAGAATAGTTTAGTAAAATACAAAGCTAATAAGATTAAGTACTAGTAACACAATCCAATGATTCAAATAAAGAAGTACGTCGGCATTTCTTTATTCGGATATTTGTCAAATTTGTATTTACAAGCGAGTTCATGGGTGGGCAACGATTTCCAATAAAGAACAAAATATATATGTGAGTTCGAGGTCATTGTGCGCGTGAATCAGAATGACCCTCACGCAGAGAAAAATTTTATGTTGAAAAAAAGGTTCCTATTAGTATTGCGAGAGAAATATAAGTAAATGATATTTTTAACGAAGCCGTTTTTAAAATAGTGATGATTATAAACACGATTCGGTGCGAAAGCAACAATATCTTCCTGTTTCTTTATTGATCCCTCAATATTCAATATAATCTTTAAAAAATTTGCCAAATTTGCTTTTCTACTTATGATATCAATAAAATTCAATCAATTTATTTTTCAAGCAGTGTCTTAAAATGATATATTGTCTACCTCAATTGTTGAGAAAAATTTTCTATCCGCAAATCAACTATACCGCAAATTCTGCAACTGTATGTGTAGAATTCTTTATGTATATTTATTGCGGGACATATGTATTAATCGGATAACGGTTTACTAGATTCTTCTAGAATGAATCAAAATTATATCGTGTCATTGAAACACACTTAAAATGCACAGTTAAAAAATATTAAGACGATTGTGTGTGTGTCTTAACCCTCGTTTCACCTCGCTCGAACGGGCTTCGATTAAAGAAATTTTGTACATTGCTTCTGCAACGATGGAACGTCAAAAAGAAAAGTGGCACAGTGACATAATATATGTATGAAATATCGGCAAAGTTTTCGGGGACAGTGATCGGCTACCGATCGAGCAGCTGCTACTCGAAATTCACTAAGTCCTGCTGAGACTTGATGTTGGTTACAAAAACCAGAAGCCGATGTGGAGGTGCCAGTATAAGATGGATTATTACCTAATAACGAATTAATTAATAATAATTATGACTCAACCATATACAATTCAAAAAATAGTCCATTGTCAGCAGATAATAAATATGTCTTGCAGCGAAAGCAAATATAAAATTAAGAAAAAAATGAAACTGCGCATTTTCAATGTATTAATAAAATTATGATCAAGTTATCTGTGCAAATTAAATTTTAGAAAATTTTTTTTATTGTTTAATGACAGTAAGATTTATGTGTGTGATATTCCAAAAATATCTTTGAACCGACTTCGGCGATCTAATTGATAATCAATCAATTAGCAGTCTTTCGCATCGATATTTCTGTATTTTTGGGAAAGTGTATTCTGTGGAACAATTATATTCTTTCTTCTTAATTCAAGAAGAACCGAGTACGTGTCAAGTACGTGCTTGGAGGATCAATAGAACCTTCAATCACTTTCCTACTTCATTAATCGCCCGGTTATACCAAACGAAGTTCCATCGGCGCTGCGTGACTCGCTTACGCAATGGCAAAGGTATAAAAGGAAAGGAAGCGAAAGAACGATTGTAGGACTTGTATAACACGTACTCGAAGTAAGAACGGAATCAGTCACGTGCTAACACATTCTACCTCTAAGATTCTAAGAAATCATTCCCCAACATACTAAAACTCCCCAATAGGAATTCCTTAATTATTTGATGCACCTAATGGCATTTTTTGCTGACCAGTCCAATTATTGATTGATAAATTATATCGGGTCTTACCATATAAAAACTTATAATTATCGATTCTATCGGTCGTTTTATAAGCAAAATAGCTCCGCACACATATCAATATGATCTTGTTCATGACGCAAGTTATGTGAAGTTTAAAGCCGCAGGTGGCAGTAATATCAAGATATTTAAATCGCTCAAGGAGGCCAACGAATATTATTGCCATAAGCACTGTGAAATTCACAATCTACTTTTATAGCTAAGTGTTGGCTGCCGTGCAGACGACAATTAATTTCATGAATTATTAAATACTAAATCTTTTAAAAACACACATTCTTTCGAAATAGAAAAAAAGTGTTCGACTTCGATGGAATGAGATCTATCGATTTCGTGAAGAGTTTAATCGGCATACCTAGCAATCCGTTAGATGCATGATGCGTTCGATGAAACAGGTTTTCTAAGGTTCCGGTACACGTTGAGATATCTTGAATGGTTTGCAACCTTCATTAGCCTTCATTCATCAGCCACTTGTCAGACCAGCTACTTTATGTTTAGTGGTTAAAGAATCGAATAAATATAATATCGATATTTAAGCAATCGAAGGACCGTTTGAAACAAATATCTTTGCAACTAATAAAACTCTTGCACACATTAACAATAAATTAAGTTATTTATAGAAATAAAGCAATATATGTATTTGTGCATAAATTGTTGTTTCATATGTTCAATATGTTAAATAAAAAAAGACTTAATTTACGTATGCAACTAAACACACGAAAACATAACTAATTCTAATTAGAAAGAAAAAATAAAGATTTTTTTAAATAAAAATTCCTAATTAATTTAATAATATTTTTAAACTAATATATTTTTTTAAATATTTTAATTAATATTTTTAAAAAAATATAATAATCTTCATGATTTTATTAAAAAGAAAACTTATAAATGGATTGTGTATCCTCATTATTCAGAAAATATAATTTGTTGATAATTCAATAATAACAAAGGCTAATAAGAGCCAAATACATTATGTAGCCGCAAAACAAGAAACAAATAAAATCATAAATTAATTATAAACGCTGTTATATGTGTTATGTGGGCGCAAATTAAAAGATAAAATTATAAATTAATTATAGACGCTGTTTTATTACATGTTTCGGTCCACTTCGGACCATCTTCAGTAACCGTATAACAGAAAAAAATACAAATATGTGAATAGATTACGATCACGCATCTGCCTCTTATTAGCCTTTTTTATTATTGACTTTGATCTATTTAGAGCCTTGTTATTGTATTATTGTTGATAATTATTGCATAATCAAAAATGTACGTGTCGCAATAAAAAATGCTAATAGTTTGTTCCATTTTTTGTCGCACTACAATTGTTCACATTTTATTTCAACAGTGGCCGCAAATAAATATAAATGCGCGATTTAAGCATTGATTAGCATCATCCGCTATTTTTGCCGAAGTTATTATTTTTAATTTAACACATATTTAGTAGCAGCGTCTTCCCTCACATTCTGTCAAAGAGATAAGTGTAAAGAAGAAAGTGACAGATCTTGAATAACGCGATATATCATAGACACGATATCAGCAAAATTCAATGGCAGAAACCAAACGACTATTTCCTTTCATTGACAAAATTAGCGGCCATCAAATCTTGCTTATATTTTGTACTTTTTACATTTTACGTAATATTATGTTAGGACCATACTACAGTACTATAAAATTTGATAAAATGTTATATATATACAAGTTTATTATTTCAGCCTAATTTTAAATATCAAGACACAAAAGTATTCTATATTTTAATTTTTTATATTTTAATTTCTATGAATAAAACATTTTCGAGCAAAAATATCAAAGCATTAATTAGTTTTTTAAATATAAACATTTACAATTTATTAATTTTGTTATTATCATATACACTCTATAATTAAAGTCGATAAATTTTTTTTTTATATTCGTCACAATTTCTGCCCTATATTTAAAACATTCTATAAAAAAAGTATCTGGCAACTTTAAATGCGATACAATAGAAGCGAATATGCACGTCATCCCTTCAAAACGTGATTGAAGATGCTATAATTCGATTATTATCTCAAAACTCACTTTC